TCAGCGAGGCAGAATGCTGATCTGATTTCATGTTGTCTCAGCTCCTCTATTTATACTCGTTTCAACCATACATTCTCATCATTTCAATCATTCGCATCAGTAAAAAACTTGTTTAATGTATATACTGCACTATTATACAGTCTTAACCACAATGCTAACCGTACTAAATTGAAGTCATCGAACGAACGCCTTCGAAACTTTCTGGTTGGCTGGTTGAATCTGCTATATTGCTTTTCATATAAACATATAATCTAATATAATATAATTTAATTATTTCTATACATGGATTCCAGTCACTTTATATATATATATAATAAAAATTCATTATAAAAGCAACAGTAATCAGTGCTATATATGTACGCACGCAGTTCAAATTTTTCGGGGAGAATTCAAAATAGTTTGAGACCACACCTTGCTTAACATCCGATTCCAAGCCAAGCTGAGCCAATATGCATATATTTATAAACGCTTTTATATTAAAATTTTGCTCGCTTTTTAAACGAATATCCCAATATAACAAATTCTCCATCCTATTTTAACTTTCTTTGATGCTTTTTAATCAGTCAGGTTACAAAAATCATTATCGATATCACAATGAAATCAATTTGAATTTTTTTTTTAATTATTGATGAAATTTTTAAATTGTTGATAAAAATAACTAGTATATATAGTGTAGTAAAACGTTTAAAATTTTCTCAGAGAATTCACAATAATTTGAGACTACACCATAACACAATTGTACAATTTCTTTTCTTTATTTAGTTCTGCCTGTGTATATTTTGTCAAATTTATTTGATAGGAATTGAATATAACCTTCATACCGGCTGATTAACTACCATGCAGTAAAATAACTACTGTTGACACCATTTCCTCCAACGATTTCGCAACGAATTGCCCATACCATATAATTAGAATAAACTCTTTCAATCAATGTTTAAATTTTTATATTGTCATTTATTCTTTCGTTTTTGTACTAATTTTCGTGTCAGATACAATAATTTAGTTTATAAGTAAATTTTCATTTTCGTAGCTATACACAAACATGCCTACCTGTTGCATTTAAAAATTGCATTAATAATAAATAGAAATGAGAAAATTTCTGATGCATCTTTTCACAGGTTTATTTTCAAATTAACCTCACACTAAAATAAATGTAACAACATCCCTATACTCATTGAATAGAACTATTTTGTTTTCCAATTACATATATTTTATTTAATAGACTATTATAATTTATAATGCTATCATGGATTACCATTTTATTATTAAAACCAATACTTAAGAAATGCACAAGTTTCTGTAACAGTTTATAAAATTTCAGATTTCCTCAAAATGTAAAAATGCAAAACGATTGGATTAAGTGCATCAGCCAGGAAATAAATGATTTGAAATGGCTTCCATCAAAAAATGCAAGAATATGCAGTGACCATTTCTGTAATAAAGATTATAAGGGTTATGATGGAAAAAGGAAGGTAATGCTGAAGAAAGCATTCCCATGTTTTCAAGTTAGTTATATTTATATGTCATCAGTTACACAAGGAAGCAATTCACATCATCATTGTACATTGCAACATTCTTATCTATACCAAAAATATAAAATGCATTCACCAATATTCCATGTATTTAATTAAAACTTAGAAAGGGCATAATGACATTGTGAATAATAAACCCTGCTTAGGACTGGGATCATCATCATCATACCAATCACCATTACAAGTAGAGTCAATTTTATATTAATGCTTAACAAGTTAACTAAATTGGCATAATCAAGTTTTTATATGAAATACACATCAAGTATTTAATGTAACAAATAAATTAACAGAAAAATTTCTGGAAAAGTTAAAAAAAATTGAACATATG